ACAAGAATTTCCATACAAAGAATAAATGCAGCAAGTTAAAGCTAAAAACAGAAGTAAAGCAATCAGGTTTTAAATGGGGACCAACATTTTTTTCCTGATTTGCACTTAAGTTAAAAAAAAACCCAGTAAAATTGACCTTCAGTATAACAGTGAAAGATCTTTAGAAGATTGCGCTAGGTGAGTCGTTGCATCGCCTGCCCTTTCCCTCCTGTGAGGAACCCAAGATGGCTTTCACAGCTCTTTTATCTTAGCAACAACAGCCCTGTTAGGTAGGCTAGACTGAGTGAGTGGCTGGCCCAGGGAGCCCCATGGCCCAGTGGGGGACTCAGCCCTGGATCTCCCCAGTCCAGCACTCCAGCCACTATACCACACTGCCTCTCCTTTGCTCTAGAGTCCTAACCTTTCCACATTTTGAAGGGAAAGGATTCATTAGCTGCCATTCTGGAGCTCTCCGTCTGTATAACTAAGAGATGTGAGTTTTTTAGAGCCATATTTTCCAGAAGCGCAAAAGAAAAATGGTGGGGGAAGCTCGGTTCTGCAAGCCCAACATCAGCGCCGCACGGCTTCAGGGCTTGCATGCATCTTGCAAATGCCGCTCCCTTAGTGTGAGGCCTTTGCGGATCTTGACCCTGGAGGCATCCGGCCTGACGTGCTCGGCCTCTGCTCCACCTCAGCCTTTCAGTGTCGCTGTTTGTTCCTTCTGGCAGCGGATCGAGTCCTCCCAGCTCCAGTGGGGCCTCAGCTACTTTGGGCGCAGCTTGGACGGGCAGATCGACTTGGACGGAGACGGCCTGGTGGACCTCGCAATCGGCGCTCAGGGCGCTGCGGTGGTTCTGAGGTGGGGGGAGCAGCGAGGCGGGCCGGGCGGCTGACGGGGCAGGGGTGAGCCCTCCCTCTCGGGGGCAAGAGGAGGAGATTGCCACTGCTGCTGGCTGCCCCGAAGGGGGGCCGCGTCCTCCCCACCCACGGGCCCGCTGCAGAGCAATGGCGGGGGCCCGGCTCGCGGGGGAGCGCCAGATGGGGGTGCATCCTTCTCATTCCCACTTCTCCTCGCGAGGGGGCAGGTCGCGGAGGATCGTGCAGATCAACGTCTCCATCTCTGCCAGCCCGCCCTCCATCAACGTCATCCGGAAGAACTGCCAGCGGAGCGGGAAGGCGTCCGTCTGCGTCACGGCCCAGCTCTGCTTCAGCGCCTCGTCCCGCTCCCTGGGCCCGAGGGACAGCCACTTTGGTGGGTGCGTGCCAGGCCTGCTCTCGCGGGCCCAGCTGCCCTCTCCTCCTGCCACGAGGAGGATGGGGCAGGCCGGGAGCCGGGAGGGGCCCCACAGCCCTCGGCCCCAGCCCCGGCCCCGCTCTAAACCGATCCCGCTCCTTCCTCGGCCGCAGGCATCAAATTCAACGTCTCTCTGGACGACAGGAAGTTCGGCAGCCGGGCGGTGTTTGACGGCAACTCCCAGAAGCTGCTCCAGAAGCGGATCCGGGCCACCGTGGGCCGTACAGCCTGCTCCACGGCCCGCTTCCACGTCCTGGTGAGTGCCGGCCCGTCACCCCGGCCCTCGGCTGGCCAGCTTCAGCAGCCTGCTGGCAGAGGGCGGCGGCGGCCGGGACAAGGCGTGTGCCCAGGACTCCCCCTTATTAGCATTAATTACTGCCATTATTATTCATGCCAGTCCAGCCGCCAGCTGTCGGGAGGTCGTAACGCACGTCCCCAATTAACTCACACCGCAGTCGGCTGTAAAACTAAAGTCTTTTATTGCTGCTTTCTACAAGATTTACGATACCACAGATAAGCTCTAATGAGAAGGTCCTAATAGGTCAGTTGCTCCCCCCTTTGTGAAGACTCTGGGGGCCCACGTGGGATTGGCTTTTCCTGTCTCGTCTTTCTGCTCGTGGGCAGGACAAACCTCTGTCTTGTCTTCTCATTTGTTCCAGTCGTCTTAAACTGCGCCTAAGATTGGCGTTGGCTAAAGATGCCACGTCTTCTGCATCTCCTGGACTCTGTCCAGCAGTTTCAGAGCCAGGAGGCGGGGGGCATCTTGCTCACGCTCCTCAGAGTCAGGATGAGGAGAAGCCTCCGCTCAGGAGCCTCACAATCAGGCTGCGACGAGGCCATTTGTTCTGGCGGCAAAGGGTCGGGGGGGGGGGGGCTATTTGCTCAGCAGTCCCAGAGTCGGGCTGCGGAGGGGCCGTTTGGCTACTGGGCCCCAAGTATCAGTCCTCTTGTTCTGATGCCTGATTCTCATTTTGAACGTTTGACTCTTTCTCGCGAGGTGACGTCTGTTGCGTCATCAGGCGCGACACCAGCGCAGGGATGTCTGTGCACCTGACAGCAGCTTTTCAGGGGGTTTTTTGGAGGGGGTCTTTCTTCCCAGCCTCCCTGACCCACCCCAGCCAGGGAAGAAGTGGTGCCCCCCTTGCAGAGGTGCTGTGCTCCCCAGCCCCTCGCTGGGATGGTGAGCTGCCTGCAAAGGGGAATGGCTGCCATTCGGGCCAATCAGCAACGAGAGGCCGCCGCAGGGACCCGCCCCTCGGTGCACCCCCTTCCCCCCTGCCCAGCAGTGCCCACACGGCTTCCTGGTCAGAGGCCCGGGAGGGACTCCCCTCGTGGTGTGGGGCGGGGAGAGGAAGGGGGAGCAGGGCTGGGCGGGGGCTCCACGCCCCGATGCATGCGGCCAGCCGTGTCTCCACTCAGAGGCTTTCTCAGCCCCACCGAGAGCTGCAGCCATGGGCCGACCCCGCGACCTCCCACTGCGCAACGGTCCTTCCCCAAGAAAAAACGGGTCGGGGGCACAGCAAGGCTCCAGCCCCGGGCTCCAAAGGCGCAGGGGCATCTCAGGGGGCTCTTCCTTCCCAGCTCTGCCCGCAGGCTCCGTCCTGTGGGCACCTGCCCCACCTCCCCTCGCCTCCCCGTCGTCCAGGCCCCCTTGATCCCTGCCTCTTCCTCGCTTTGCCGAAAGGCTGGCAAGCGCCTGCCTCTGGTGCTCCGGGCAGACTCCGCCGTCTGCCCCCAGGCGGAGCGGATGCAGGCAGCCAGCGGTCCTCTCTCCCATGCAGGACACCTCGGACTACATGAGGCCCGTGGCGGTCGCGGTGAGGTTTGCGCTGAACGATGCCGAGCCCGGCCCCGTTTTGGATGAGAAATCCCCCACCACCGTGAAGAGACTGGTGAGCGCACGCCATTCCGGGCTCCGCGCAGGCTCCGCTCCTTGCATTGCACGGGCGCGCTTCTGGGCGCGGGGGCACGGTGTGCTCGGATCGCTAGGGACCATGATGGAATCGCCTCCGCGGGGTCCGTGGCACCGGCCACAGGTGCCGCTCCGCTGCGAAAGAGACGGCCCTCCTAGCGGCACCTCAGGGGGCACCCCAAGCTGCAGGAGGGCTTCCGCAACGACAACAAAACTGTGTGCTAACCCGACTGGGTGAATCAACCGCATCTATTTTAAATGCATTTTAAATGTGCCAAGATGGCTTTGGGCACGCAGTGGGGTTTGTCTCTGCTCCCCTCAGCTCTTGGGGTGGCCGTCTGAGGGCCCCTGGGGCCTGGACTGTGGCCCCAGGCCTGGCCGGGGCTGTCCCACTGAATCCTGGCCCGTTGATCCGCGGTTTGTCCCATTCGTGGGCAAGGGGAGGCGGGGACGCCTTTCTCCGTCCTTGGGGCCCTGTCTCCATCGCAGGCTTCAAGGAGCTGCCCTGGGTGCTGCAAAGGGCAAGCCTCTTTTGGGGTGGTGTGCACTGATTGCCCCGATAACGAGCGCCACAAACAGGTGATGGTGCTCCTGGCTGTGGGGCTGCTGCCAGGCCCTGCAAACTGAATCGCAGAATTGTGTTCTCACCTCGTCCTCCCCATGGAGCAAGACAGATCGCTCCAGGAAAGCACAGAAGAAAAGCTGCAGTGGATCAGGAACCCCGCAGACAAGCTCCTTACCTTCCCCCCCCCCCACATTCACAGCTTGCATTCTGGGTGCTGGGGGGCATAACGGGCACACTTGGGTTTTTGCCCCGCTGATGGCTGATGGGGTGGGCTGGCAGGGGCAGAAATTGTGGTTCGCGTGGGCTGCCGTTTGGCTCTCCGGGGCATTTCGGCAGAGGCATGAGCTGGGGATAGTGAAGCCCAGCCTGGCGCTTCGCTTGTGGACCTCAAGGTGACTTGCGGAATTTGGGCTGCTGGATCAAAGAGGAAGACCGCAGCTACTCTGCCAATTAGCATCCGCTGTGCAACACCTAAGCTGCTGGAGTGCCCAGATCAGATCGAAATCTCGTGTGCAAGCCTTGTAGGAAACGCCTTCCGATTTACCTGGAATAATGTTCAACCACCGCCCTACCTGAGGTGATGCGCACTTGCAGCTACAAGTGGGAGGAAGCCCAGATCTTGGCTTCTGAATCTGGGCGTGCATTTGAAAGACACTGGGTCATCCGGTCCCCTTCCCTTCCCTCTCTGACTGAAGCTGAGCGTAGTCCATAGTGTAAAAATAAAGTTCCAACTTCTGTGAAAAAAGCTGAATTTGCAACATGAAAATACGCAGTTTGGACAATTTTGCAAAATTTTATCTTATTTTACACATCCCTCCTCAATTTTAATAAATATCTCTGTGAGCAGTTTCTACTGCTTGGCATCCCTTATGCTAGTTTTGCTGGTCCCCTGCTCCCCACAACTTCCGGGGTCCTCTTTAAATTATTTCTTAAGTGTCAGCAGATAGGATCCACACATATTTTCCTAGTTCAGTTGAAGGGCTGGAAACTTGCTTTTTAAAAAAGAAGAGAAGGAAGGAAGCTGAGATCCTGGCAAAATTAGCTTTGGCAGCTATTTCCAGTTTTCTGGGGGACGGGGCAGCACCCTACAGCATCACCCACCTGTTCACTTGCTTTTTTAGATCCCCTTCTTCAAGGACTGCGGTGCCGATGACGTGTGCGTAACCGACTTGGTGTTGCAAGCGCAGATGGATATTGATGGATCCAGGTAGGGACAGGTTTAAAAAGTGTGGAGTAAACCGATGCTGTGAAGAAGTTCCTCCATGGCTTTTTTCCCAGCCTACATGGAGCAGGGGATTGGACTAGATGACCTCTGAGGTGCCCGGGGACTTGCAGTTAGTGGAGAGGGGGCGATAGGGCTCTTGAGCCAGGAGGCAGGGCTGGGAGGGTGAGGCTGTCCTCTTGCACGCCAGAGCATCCTCATCTCTTCTTCTCGTTCCAGGCAGAAGCCTCACGTGATCCGCAAAGGGAAGCGGAAGGTCTTGGTGGACGTCCTTCTGGAGAACAAGAAAGAGAACGCCTACAACGCCAGCCTCGTGCTTGGGTTCTCAAGGAACCTCCACTTCTCCAGCCTCGCACTCAAGGTGTGGCCTGCAATTTTGCTGTGGGCAAAAGGAATGGGAGGGAGGGAGGGAGGGAGGGAGGGAAGGAAGGAAGGAAGGAAGGAAGGAAGGAAGGAAGGAAGGAAGGAATCCCTGGAATGACAGCGGGGAGCGGGTGGCTGGGCTCTGAAGAACCATGAGACCGTCAGACCTCCAAGAATTCAGTGTCACATTGCTTCCCGCTACCAGCTAAATCCTGTGGTCCTGTGTGAACCATGCAAATTTGGGTTATTCTCCTCATCGAGGGAAGCGGTGAAACCCAAGGCAGAGCCTGCCCCAGACATCCAGACCTGTGAGAGTCCATCAGCCTTTTGGGCTTATCTTGGGCCATCTTGAGGGTGCTTCCGTCGTCACGTAGTGAGTTCGGACAGCCCAGCCATCCATCCTCAAGAGTTCACTGTGGCTTGAGTGCAGGTTGTCACTGAGCCATGGACTGTTGTTGAAACCTGGGTTACACTGTTGCCCGAACCCAGCCAAGATCACAAACAACCCACCTTTCACAATCCAGGATTATTTGGCTTGTGGGGGGGGGGGTTCAGCCAACACTTGTCGGCAACAACCCACAGTTCGAAAGCAACCCTCACGCAACCTGGACTGTATTCATCACGTAGCCCGAACCCTGTCGGTATCTTATTTTCACTGCAGAGATTCTGTGACCAATGCCAAATTCTGCAGGTTTTCGATACTCTTTTTCGTTTCTGAAGCCATAAAATAGGTTTTACTTGTTGAACTTCCCAGCACTGCCTAGACAACTGAGTGGTGGATATTCTGTTTAAGAGTTTAAGCTCCAGTCTCAACACCTGCCGTTGGTTGTTTATACAGCCTTAAGATAACCCGATGGCAGAATCAGTTGGGTAGCTGTCATACAACTTGCGCTATACCAGTCGTCAACGTGGGAGATGCTCGCCTCTGTCCAAATCCAAGGACACCGGGTTTCTCCACCGTCAGCCCAGAGGATGAGGCCCCGTTGGGACACTCCCTCCGGTGTTGCTAAAAAGCTGGAAGCAAACCTCTGGCCGTGTCTTCTCGGATCTCTGCCCAGGAATGGACGCATTGTAAAACTCTGCTCCAGCCACCACCCCATCCAAACTCTGCCGCCTCTCGCCTTTCCCATGCACTTTCTTCCACTGCTGTGAGCATGACGTGAGCTGGGCTTGGCTTCTGCATCATCTCAGCACAGCCCTTCTCGGGTTCTTCCATTTTTCCCCAGGGGGAGAACCCCGTGAAGATAGAATGCACCACCCCGTCTGCTCAGACCCGTGCCTGCAGCGTGGGGTACCCTGTTTTCAGGGCCTCGGCAAAGGTGAGCAGGCCCCTCTTGCTGGGAACGGTGGCGACCGCCGTGGAGCATCGCCTCTCCCTCCGCGCAGGGCCGTGGGGTGCAGAAAAGGGGCGGAAGAAAGCAGCTCCACATTGGCTTCGAACCCGCAGCTGCCTCTCGCCAAGGCAAGGTCCTCCACGGGCCAGCTGCTGTGGGAAAGGCCATGCTGGACTGGGTGGGCCTGGTAGGGTTTGGGGAGAGGGGAGCGGGCCCCCACCTCTGAGCCCGGGGCCCGGAGAGACTTGCCCACCCGTTTGGTGTCCCTTGCCGTTCTGCCCTGTGTCCCCTCCTTGAGCTCCAGACAGGCCCCCAACACCCCCACTTGGGTCCCAGCCACCCGCCGTCGTCTTCTTTTGCCCCAGTAAGCCCCAGTTGGAACAGTAAGCTTTGCCGAAATAATCCCGACCCTTTTCCTATCGCCAGGTGGCGTTTGTCCTGGAGTTTGAATTCAGCTGCTCTTCCCTTCTGGACAGAGCCCAGGTGACGATCAGAGCAAGCAGGTGAGAGCGATGGGGGGGGGGCTCTGGGGGGCACCCATCGCACGAGGGGAGGGCCTGAGCAGGTGGCGGTTTTCGGCACCCCCTTCAGGCGCAACCGGATTCACCACCACGTTCGCTGTGACGCAACAGGGTTGCTATGCCCGTTTGCCCAGCGCTGGAGCAGGGCTCCGGAGGCCGGAGAGGAAGAGCGGGGAAGGGGAGGCCTGGCAGAGGCAGGCTGCCGGCCTGGGGGGAGCGGCGAGGGAGGGGGCTTCTCCGTGCTCTTCCCATGCAGCAGCGAGCGGGGAATTCGGGTCAGGGCAAGGGAAGGGCTTCTTCATGCCAAGCCACGGGATCCCGCGAGATGAAGCGGTGGCCACCTGCTTGGACGGATTTCTGGAGAAGGAAGAGGCTATTGTGGCTACTCGTCCTGGTGGCTCCATCCTCCCTCCAGGGTCAGAGGCGGTGTGTCTCTGTACACCCATTGCTGGGGAACATAGGTGGCAGTCCTCGTCGGATCCTGCGGGCAGCTGGTCTGGCCTCTGTGTGGCTTGAAGGCCGTTCCAGATTCACCCGAGAAACCCTCAAAGGCCCGGCTGGGACCCCCCGCTGAGCTTCCTCTTCCCAAATAGAAATGGCCCCATCTCCCAGTAAGATGCGATAAATGCAGACCGCCATCTTCCACCCGGTGCCAGACTCCCAGGCTTTTGTCTCCTGCAGTGACAGCCACGAACGGAACGAGACCCTCGCCGACAACACGGCCCAGCCCACGGTCCACGTCCGTTACGAGCCGGACCTCTTCCTGACAAGGTGAGGCCCAAGGTGCAAAGAGAGCTGCTCCGCACCCCCTGGACTTTCCCCCCGTCCCTGGCAGCTGGTAGGAGGGGCCAGCTTCCCCATGGGGGGGCCTTGGCCTGCCTCCCAAAGCGGGGCTGAGGAAATGGGGGTCTGCGGCAGGAGAGGGGCTGCCCTGGGGTGCCTCAGAGCTTTTGCTCCTGCAGTTGGATGGTTGCAGGGATGGAAATGGGCTCAAGCGAAATGGCACCGGAGTTGCCTCCGCACAGGACAGAGCGGGGAAGAGAATTTCGCCCTCTGGGGCAGGGAAGCGGGCCGCAGGCGTTGGGATCGCCTTCCGCAGCTGGAAAAGCGCTCCGCTTCTCACGGCCAGCAAATGTCTCGCTCCTGCCTCTGCGCTGCCGGGTGAGCAGCGGCCCCCCTGCGAGGGCTGCCGCCTGCACCGGGGAGACATACCCTCCACCCAGCCCGGCTCACTTTCTGCCATTTCTCTGCCCTGCCACCCGCCCCAGCGAGTCCGCCCTGAACCGCTATGAAGTGCACCCCGTGGGGATGTTTCCGGACGGCATGAGCCCGGAGTTCAGGACGACCATCAAGGTACTCTTCTATAAACTGCATATAATATATATTGATGCGCAGTAAATATCCTGCGCTGACTTAAGGAAGCTGGGGGCCATCCCGCACGAGGGCACCGCCTATCTTCCTCTAGGGTTTGGCAGCGAAATCTTTCGCAGCTGCGCAGCCTCCTCCTCTAATGGGAGATGCTTTAGAAGGGCACAGGTGTAGCATCTCCTCCTCACGGAGGTGATAAACGTGCATCTGGGCCGTACTTCTCCAGATACCTGGTGCAGAGAAGCTCACCTGCATCTCTTCCCACCGATTCCTCAGCACAAAAAACCGGAGTGGAGGGAGATGCAGCCTGTGCCTGGCCTGGTTTCAGATGGCCCCCGGAGGCTCACACGATGGAGTTTTTCCCCATACCAAAAACATGTTGAGAAATCCCTGAAAACTGACATTTATTTTTAAAAACTAGACCAGAAAGCGGACATGCTACTGTCATGTGTGCACGGGGGGGGGGGGGGGTGGGGGGGGGGGAGAATTTCACCCTCTGAAAGAGAAAAGGCTTGCCAAGTTACTGAGAATACTAAAGTGTAAAGCACTGCATATTTCGATGGGAACTCCCAGCCTTTTTCTGTCGAAACACACGCAGGTTTAGGTCCCACTGGCTGTTGTAGGAAATACACCCACAAGTGTTTCAACAGCAAAATGCCCTATGCCTAAACACTGGAGTGATCCGCTGTTAAAGCGAACACCAACTATTAGAGGAGGGCCGACTGTGTCCCTCCAGATGGAGGCTCTGGCCTCCGGCTCCCATCATCCTTCCCACTGGCTAGTCTGGCCAGGCCAAGGAGTGCCAGACATCGGGAGGGTCACATGTTGCCCCGTCCTGCACCAGAAGGATGCCTCTGTATACATCCCAGTAGCCAAGGCTCTCTGGATAGTTAACACAAGTTAAAACGAAGCAAAATTCAGAAGCGACAAACACAAAAATTAATTTAAAACAACAAAACCATAATGGCAATTACAGAAGGTATAGCAGTGATAAAGAATGACATGGACTATATGAAAACAAAGTTTAAAAGTTAGACTATTAAAATGCTGGGAAAATAGAAAGGCCTTCACCTGGTGCTGAAAAGAATACAAATGCACGCCTCTTTGGAGAGCTCATTCTAAAAAATGCTGCCACTACCAAAAAGGCCCTCCTCATTTCCTTGCTGCTGAACTTTGTAAATTAACTTTAAGAATGGCTTTCTGAATTTTCTTGCCTTTCCTCTTCCTTCCTCATCTTGTTTTCCTTTCGTGCCATGTTCATTTGGACTGCAGACCTTTAATATACCTTTTAATGGATTTCATTAAAGCTACTTTGGGAGCCTCTTTGGCTAAAGGGAAGCCAGAAAGCACTTCAAAGAAGTGAGCAAGGCAAATGGAGGAGTCCTTCTAACCGACTTGCAGGCTTTTTATCCCCTGCAAAATCAGCTTTCCAAAGGGGCTTTGGTGTGATGCGTCCTTTGTCCTTTCCAGGTTTCTGCCCTGTTGATTAAGCAGGATAAATGTTTTTCTTGCAGGTGCAAAACGTTGGCTGCTTTGCAGTGCAGAATCTCTCCCTTTCCATGGCGCTTCCAGCCATGGCCTACGGGAGCACCGAATTCCTCTCTGTCACACGCATTATTGCCGACAACGTGAGTGCCGCAGTTTTCGTCCGCGCAAGCGTCCCGACCCTCTCCCTCCCACCTCCCCAGACGAGTCATGCTTCCAGGGCAGGCGGAGGCAGGTGCCCGGAAGGTCTGGAGCGCAGGCACCCAAACAAGGAGAATTGCACAATATTTGCAATGGCACAATTGCCCTTTTCATCCACGGTGCTCAGGGCAGGGAACTGGCCCTCTCTCACTGCAGCCTCGTAAGCCAACTTAGCCAAGGGCCATTGGCTCCCTTCCCGCTTGGGCCAGCCAGACCCTGCAAGTCACACCCAGGGCGTGAGTGCCAAACAGAGTCTCAAATGCAAAGCGGCCACAGAGAAAACGGCTCCTGCCCAAAGGGAAACGGCCAGGCGCTCGTGTCCGCAGGGGCCTGGATTCAGTATCGGTGTCTCATTGCTCCCATCCCAAGGTGACGTGTGGCCTGCGAAATCTGACCGAGGCGACTCAACGGACAGCTGCGGGGGTGGTTCCCGTTCACCCAGAAGATCTCGGACACACGGAGAGACTGGTGAGGCGAACGGAGGCGTCCCGTGTCCTCGGCCGCTTCTGCTGCTCCGGGGCCCAGGGAGCTTCCGCCCTGGCAGTTCTGCCACCGCTAGTCTGCCTCCACGCCTGAAGAGGCCGGCATGAACGGGCACGGTGCTGATTTAATGCTGCCACCCAGAGGAGCGGCCACAGACGCGGGCAACAGAAAACGGCCACGCCTGACTTGCAGCGAAGCAGGCGGGCTCTGCGGGGAAAGGCCCAGCACTGGCCTTTTCGGGAAGGCGCAGAGCCGGCGCAGGGCGGGGTCTTCAGGCTCAGACGAGGAGCGGAGATGCTGCCGGTGGCTCATCGTTCCACAGGAGCACAGCAAGAGTGCTGTGGGGGGGAGGCCTGGCGTGGCTTCCAGGGGGCGGCCGCATTCGGTCGGACATGCCCAACCCTCCTGCTGCAGCAGCTCGATGTCCACACTGGTGAAATGAATCGCCACCTTCTCAGCCAGGCGGGTAAGGAGCGGCTTCCTCCCTCCCCTGCAGAACTGCTCCAACACCTGGTGCCAGGAGGTGAGGTGCGAGCTGCCGCACATAGAGAAGAACGCGGAGGTCTCTGTCCAGCTTCTGAGGGCAGTGCGCAACGAATTTTTCAGGAGGGTGAGTGCAGACAGCAGCCCAGCTTTGGGAGTGCCTACACAACACTGGCCTGAAAAGGGCCCGGAGCAGATGACTCCGGAAGCGAACGTAGCGTAGCACCAAGACTGGGCACAGCCGTCTCCCTGCACCCACAGACTAGAAAGGGCAACCGTTGCATCTGATCTTTTGATCTGGGAACGGTCTTGGGCGCCGGTGGGTGGGGTCCTGGCCCCGTTCCTCCCTTGCACCCCACTTTCACAAGGATCACTGCCCTTGCCCTGTCGCCTGGGACTGAAGATTTGGAGATCAAGTTTTGCAAAAAGAAGGGGATTTAAGGGACAGTTGCGATATGGGAGGAAGAGGGAATCATTCCAGAAAGCGATTCGGGGAGCATTCCAGGCAAAAGGAACAGCAAAAGGGGTGTGCAAGATGGGAGGAGGACCAGGCGGGTGGGAGAAAAGGTTGTAATCGGTAGGAAAAGATCACAGGAACTGGGTTAGTCCAGCTTTGTCAGTCCTTGGTGTCTGTCTGAGGTTCCACGCAGGAGATATTCCAGACCTGCCTGGATCAAGCTGGCACTTTGTATCCCAGGCACTGTAGGCCCCTCCGGTGCTCTTCTCCTCACCCCCTTTTCTCTCTCCATTTTGTGGAGTAAGGCCAACTTCAAGACCGTGAAGGTTGTCAGCAGGTTCACGCTGTCTACTCAGAAGGACAGCCTCCTCCTCCTGCCAAAGGCTGGTCACCAGCGAGAGGTAAGGCCTGGAGAGTTGTGCTTCCTTGTCCCAGCCTCCGGGATTGCATCTCTTCCATCTTGCAAAGGGAATTAATTCTGCACCAGGAAAAACTGCTCTGGAGCCTGCTGAAAGGTGTGGTCCCACATGCTTAGGCGGAGAAAGGGCTTACAGCTCACAGTATTCTCCAGCCAGCTGGGACTGGAATGACCTTTTCCTATCTAAAAGCTGCATTAGGCATTATTTTACATTTTCTGCTGTTTATTGTAGTTTTGTTTGGGAAAAATGGCAAGGAAATATTAAACAGAATGCAGGGGGCCTCCCAGGCTTGTTGTGATGTGAATTGCACAAGTGGCTCTTCACTCAATAGCACTGGGGTGGGGAGAGTGAGGGGAGAGAAAGCAGATCAGAACTGCAACAGGTATAAAGGTCCCCCCTCCCACCCCGAAAGCCCTTTCCGGCTTAAGTCATAAAGGGAAAACAAGTTTAGCCCCAGTTTGGTTCGGTCGTTAGTGACATGACTCCTCTTGCAGACCACTTTGGAGATCATCCAGACCAAACTGGTACCTGTTTCGCTCTGGATCTTGATTGGCAGCATCATTGGAGGCCTCTTGCTGCTCGCCTTGATCATCTTCTTTTTGTGGAAGGTAAGTCCTTGTGCAGGCGGCCTTGGTGGGCTCGGGGGCTGTGCAGAGCTGAGCCAGCTGGCCAGAGCAAGCCGGTCGCTTCAAGTCAGCCAAGGACCCTCCCCCATCTCAATGGTCTGGGGCAGGTTGCAGCCTGAACGGGTCCCTCCCCATTCAGAAAGACCAAGCCATCTCTCAAGGCCTTTTTCTGGTAGGAGGCAGTTTAATTTACAGTAGCTTGATGTGTTTGGCCCTGACCAGCACCAAAATGAGTCTCGGCAGCCAAATTTGGCCTTCCAGAGTTCTCCGCCCACACCCTGACGTAAGCGTTCCAGCTGGCAGTTCCTGATGCACTGCATGTGCAGAAAAACCACGAGTTCTAGATTCCCAGGGACTCACAATTCAAGGACCCCTTTGTCTAAGAAACAATATTCCAGTAAGTGGGTTTAACTACACTTGAGGGCCAAGAGAAGTGTGATTTTGACACAAGAGAACTTGCATTCTAAAATCCAGTGCTAGGAATTCTGCACCACTGGAATTTTCTGCATGTGCAGTCCAGCACAAAGACCAAAATTCATGCAAAGCTAGTAAGTTAACCACAGCAACTTTTAACAAGTCCTTTTTCCCACTGAAATTGGGTTCTAAAACTCTGGAAGCTGATCTTTAAAGATCAGATTCTCTACAGATGTAAAAGAAAACTTTGCTTTCCTGGTTCAAACTACATGGTATTTCTTACTCTCTTCTTCTGTCCCCACCCAGCTTGGATTTTTCGCACACAAAAAGCCTGGAGAAGAAGAGAAAGAGGAGCAGTAAACCTACAAGGACTTAGAGAATACTTTCCACTCTTTAGAAAGGGGCTGCAACGGGAGGAAGTTGGGACGTCGTGGGCAGTGTTCCTGACTCTCTCTAAATCTGCAGAAGCTCCAGGACTTCCAAAGACAGTCTCCCAAAAACTTCCATCACTTTCTTTTCCCTTGGGAAAGCTAGAAAGTGCAGCCTTCACCTGGCTGGAAACAGAATTCAATGCACACACCCGGGGGGTACCACACCTGAGCTTCAGATCTTGAAGGCTGAACCTCCGACATCGCCCACGAGGTTCGGGGGATAAAGAACAGCAGAGAAGCACAGCTGACGGACAGCAGCACCTGCACCCAGTGGAGCATCTGTTTCAGACTCCTCCTCTGGAGGGCTTTCGATCCATCGTTTGCAGTCGTCTGATGCTCTGCGCCCAAACCTTTGTTGCCTAGAAGCAAGAGTCCTGTTTTTACCCTGCTTTGATCTTTTGCTAGCTCACTTAAGGCGGCTTCCGCAGGGAGGGCCTTAATGCAGAAAAGGCAAGTCGCCCTGTGAGGCAGTTTTGGCCGCCTCGGCCGCTCTCTGTGCAGACACGTTCAGCTTGGAACACGCAAGCGCCGAACAAGCCATGCTGGGATTGGGGCCGTCTGGTTCTGCAGCTGGGACCGTGCCTGCCTCCCCTGGTGACCAGCCCTTTTCCCACCCCACAAACCCAGAAATGAGTGTGCAAGCCCTGGAGCCGGGATTGCAATTGATAAAGTGGAGGTGACCCGATTCTCTTTCAGGCACTGTCCTTTGAAACCAGCTTGGGCAGGAAGGTAAGCATTTGCTTGCCCTCTTGAAACAGCCTCACCAAGGGCAGGGTACAGAGGCCAAAGTCTCTACATAGCACTGGAGAAGCCTGGTCTTGGGTGTATTTTGGGCAACTTGGATTTTTATAATGCAATTACTGTACAAAATGTATTATAAATTAACAGAAGCAAAAGAGAAAGTTACTTGTCCCAAGGGCTTATGCTCTAAATTAGGAGTAAGGAACTCCCATTAGGAAGCATGATGTGACTTGTAGTCCAGCACCATAGTAGCCTCAGGGCTCCCCTACCCTGGACGTAAATTTTTAAGTTGGCTGTGAAGAGAGGCGAGAGAGACAGGTAGAAATAAGGGGGTCACCTGAACAAGCAATGATCAATTTAAAAAATTCCTTTCACAGAACATCTGCAGTGTTCCTCCTCTGAACCTATGATAATTTCAGCTCTTAATTTCATTTAAGTTTCTAAGGCTGCAAGCAGAGAGGCATCGAACCAGGTGGCTAATGGGATTTCCCTCCGAGACTTTGGAGATTTTGCCAGGCAGAGCCTGCCTTCATCCTTGCCTGTATTTGTAATTTTTTTAAGGGCTAGAAACTTGCTTTTAAAGAAAACAAATTAAAAGCAGGTGGAGAATTTGAAGCATTGTATGCCTTGCCATATGTTGCGCTCGTTCGTGCTGCGAAGGCAGAGTCCACAGAGCACCGTAAGGGCCGCAGCTCAGTGGTCTCCATCTGCATCGGCGACTCCAAGCACTGATCTGGAAGTCAGAACCGGCTGCCAGGACGTGCGACGCCAGAGCAGACATGCTCCTGGCCCTGGCGGCCTCTCCGCATTACGCAGACACAGCCATGCTCGGCAATCTGAAAAATAGTCCTGGGCACCAGCACAAAATGGCTGCCATGGGAGGCGTGGCAAAGGACAGGCGGCCTGTCTGAGCCCCCAGAACGAAGCACCTCTTTGGGCCACCCTTTTCAGGCTGACGGGAAGCTATTCCACAGCAGCAAAAATGGGCTGAAAGCGAATCGCAGAATCATAGTCGAGCGCCAAGGGGCCAAAAGGCCATCGGGTCCAAACCCCAGCTGCTGCAGGACACCAAGGCACCCTATGAAGTGGGCGAAGGGCATTTTGGCTAACGCCCAGAAAGGTGCCGGGGGTGCCCTGGTGTTTGTGGGCACCAGTTGCCTCCCCCACTCGGCCTGCACCAGCAGGCACCCGAAGGAGCACTCCATGGCCTGCCGCGCCTCTGTGGGTTTGATCCGCCACCAAAGAACAATTCCTCAGACTGTCTTTCAGGGCCACCCCCTGCAACTTTTTATTTCGGTGCTGTAGGAACCAGCAGTTCCGCCGAGCCGAGAGCCTCCGACTGCTTCCTGGTGGGCTTTGCCTGTGGGCAGGGCGCATGCCGTCCCTGCAGCCCCCGAGACCCAGCCGGGTGCTTTGAGGGCATCGTGCCTGTCCTGCAAAGCTTCTCCCCTACTGCTGATCTGGGCCTCTCTCCTGAAGGAAGGGCCCGACGTGGCCTGCAAGCGAGTCCAGCCATGCAGGGGCTGGTCTCTCTTCTCCTCCCCAAACCTCTCCTCCTCCTCCTCCTCTCCCGCACCACGGCCCAGCCACAAATTCTCTTGATTGCTGTGCTTCTTATTAAAGACTTTTATTCAACGTTTTATAGCAAACAGAAGGGACGAAGTCTGAAATCGCGTGTACCTGGTACACTGCGGCGGCAATGCCGTGGCAACGGGCCTTTTACACACTCTTTCTGGGGGTCGGGCCCTGTTTTCCTCACCTGCTTCTCCTCCCGCTTTTCTGTCATCTAAGTCAGACCCCTCTCCGGTTCCGGATGAGAGGCGTTTGGGCGACTGGTGTGTGACACAGAAGTTCTGAGCTCAGACATGATTCAGAAGTTAAAAGCCAAGGGAAAAAAGAATGCAGATGTAGAAAGTTTCCAGAAAAAGAAAACTTTAAAGGAAAACACGCAACAAAAAAGCAATTTGTATGGTATCAAAGGATGACATGTCATTTTAAATACTGAAGAACAGCCTGCAAAAAAACACAGTCCTTGCTTTGAAAGATAAATTAAATGTGGTCCATTTGAGTAACAAGGCAGCAAAATGAGTCTTAAGTGACAGAGAGAATTTTGGTTCGAACTCTACCATGGGATGAGAGCAGGGAAACGACATTTCACTAGAGGCTTTCCTTGAGCCAGGTTCTGCCTCCTTTTCCTCTTCCTCCTCCTCGCCAAACTATCTGCCCTCCTTCCCAGGAAAACAGGAGTTTCCCAGGAGTTGAGACATCAGAAGCAGAGACTCTGTCAAGCTAGTTGAAAGAAAATTCAGCCACAATCCCAGCAGTCCTGGGCTGCAGGAGGGACGGTGCACATCAGCCACCCTGCGGGAGAGCGGAAGGGGCAGCATTTCCGTGAATGCCCTCGGCTCCTCCCCACTCCCTTGTTCAAAGCGGACTCAGAGTTTTGGTGCCCCCTCCTCCCTCGCTCCCAGAAGTGGAAGGCTGCCTGGGCAGAGCCCCCGTCCCGTGAGGATGGGGCCTCGCCTTGTACTGGAAGAGAATCCACGCACTTTTAGGAACTGCCTCCCGTCCTGTCCCCGCCAGCCCCCTTTCAAAACTCTAAACAGCTCACTTGGGAAGTTAAGGATCAGAGAGGCCGCTTGGATGCCGTGGGGGCCTCGGGTGGGAGGAGGATGCGGTTTTGGAAAGGTGGCCCCACGGGCCGGTGGTGGGCGGGGAGCGTGGCTCCGCTGCTCGTGGCAGCTCTCCTCTTTCTTCGCGCTACGTGGTTTTGTAGTTTAGATTTGTACAATTTACATCCGCAGTAAGGAATACTACCGGCCTGTGCGGCCCCTGCCCGCCCGCCCGCCCGCCCCCTGCCCCACGGCCCCAGGGCGGCTTCAGAAAGTCCATCGGTCGTGGAGGTTGCCTGGGCTGCTGAAGGAGTGGCTCGTGGAGGCCTCCGGGCTGGGCACTTGCCGAGTGGAATCCTCGCCACTTAAGCTCTTCCGGCACACGGGGCACGTGTCGTGCTGACGGGGGAGAAAACACGCGTGTGAGCGAGCAGCGGCGAGGAGACGAGGCCCGGCGGCCAGACCGTGGGCCGTGGCCGGGTTCAGGCAGTGGTCCGGGCGGAGGAGCTCTGGGGCCTGCATGCGGCCTCCCCACTCTGGCTGCAGCGGCCCGTGCGTGTGGCTGACCCGGCCGGCCAGTGCCGACGGTGCAGGGCAGGAATGGGGCAAAGCACGCCCGGGCCTGAGGACCAACGGCCTCATCCTGTGGCGGAGCGCGGGCGGAATGCGCACCCTCGGGCTGAGCAACCCGCGCCTCCACCCGGTTTTTCTGGGGGCTGACTCGGCGTGCACAGATACACCCTTGCCTGCGTCTTGCCTTCACGACTCCTAACGTGTGGGGGGCAGGTAGCCTGGGCCTGTGGGCCCCCCTGACCACGACCACCACCACAAAGGGGCGCCCTGCAGGTGACGTGCCAGCCTGCAGCCGCTCAGCAGCCGCATTTCGGCGCCCTTCCTGTGACCTGGAGGCCTTCGTGGGAGAGGAAGAGGAGCGCTGCAAGAGGCCCTCCCATCCCCAAAAACACTTCCAGCTGCCACTAGGAAACGATGGCCTCTGAGAGAGACAGGATGTGGGGCTTCTGCGCACCAAAAAAGGCGCTTGGAGGCGCACCAGTGCCTGCCAGCCGCAGGTTCCACGTCTGCTCGGGCTTCCAGCTTCCCCCTTAACAGCCACCCTTTGTCTGCCTGTAAAATCATATATATGAACTATGGTCCAGAAGGTTATTGCTGACCCGGGAGAGTTACTGTGGGTGCTGGGCCGCTGACGATCACCCCGACACCCCGCGCGACAACACGGCTGCCACAGAGGTGCCGCCAAACGCGGTGGGCAGCAGGCCCTGGGGCTGCGGGGCAGGTCACGGTCCCCGGGCTGAACAGGCCGGCCAACTGGCCTGCCAGACCAGGGGCTCAGCACCCTCCACCTGGATCTGGCCATTCGGGGGCACAAGTTGGCGCCAGGAGGGAGGGACCCAAATAGCTCCTTCTGTAGGAGAAGATGGGGCCGAGCCCACAGGCAAGCCCCTGTGGAAGCCCCTGGCAGTGGGGCAGATAGAGAGCCTCCCTGGGGCCCCCAGGGGCTGGGGCAGAGGGGCCGGGGCCGGGGCCGCCCTCCCGCAGCCAAGCAGCAGGGGACCTACCAGCTCCAGCCAGGGCACGATGCAGCCGCTGTGGAAGACGTGGTTGCACGGGAGCTGCCGGACCTGCTCCGCGACCGCGTAGTCGTCCTTGCACACAGGGCACTCCAGGCCTGTATCTGCAAGAGATGGGCGGGGGCCGGTCAGCGTGGCAGCCACCCCCCCACGGCACCCTCACGCAAACAGGGCCCCGCAGAGACGGAGCCGCGGGGCCCGACCGTGGGGCTGATGCTTGAGTGGGGAGCGCCGGGGGGAAAGGCTGAGCAAGGCAGAGGAGAGGGCAGGCAGGAGACTTGCGAGCCAAGAGGAACGGAAACGCGCCACTGGTGGCAGAAGGTCCGCCACCAGGGAGCCACGAGGGAGAGGGGCTGCGAGCGGGGGGCAGAGGACGCCTCTGGGGCTGGGAAGCATGAGGCGGCCGGAGAAAGAGCTACACAGCAGGGTAGGCAGGGTGAAAATGAGGGCACTCGGAAAGTGACGGAAGGACCTGCTGGACCGTCCCCAAGGCGAGGCGGCAGCCAGTGCCCGGCCGGCCCGGGAAGGGCCCTCCCCGGGTCAGTCCCGGGTGGCGCCATCCTGCAAGAGCCCGGTGCGAGACGAGAGAGGAAGAGGAGGGGCTCCATCCCCAAGGGCCACAGTGCGGGGCGGTGTGGGGCGCAGGTGTGGCCTGCACCGCACTGGGGGCTGCGCACACCCGGACTCGGTGCTGCTGGCTGGCCCAGCCGCTTTGCCTGCCTCGCCCTGCAAGAGGTTTGTGTGACCTGAGAATGCGGCTGAGGGGGCAGTTCAACCCCCCCCCCCCCC